GTCGCTTAACCAACTGAGCCACCCAGGTGCCTGCCTTTTCCAGTTTTCAAGATAACAAATTGATTTCCTATCATCCACTAAATGTGACCAATTATTTTGAAATATCATTATGAACTTATGGATTTAAATTTAATTCATAAGATTCAACCTACTGTGATTAATAACCTTACTGAAGTTCAAATTGTTCCATTATTGGCCAATGGAAAGCTCTTAAAGTTGGCTCCTAAGTCATTTCATTAATGACTTCAACTGTTAGATGCTAATATTTTAAACTACGATTATGAATTGCCTATTTCTTCTTTTAAATCTGTCAACTTTTGCTTCATGCAGACACACTGCTGTGAGGCACATATACGTGTACTATTTTTACGACTTCCTAATGAATTGACCCTTTTATTATTCTGAAAAGTCCTCTTTATCTCTAGCAATACTCACTGTCTACAGTCTACTATATGTGTTACTGGTATATCCATTCTAACCTTCTTATTTTTATTCATCATTTATTTTCAATTTTAAATTCTTTCTCCCTTCCACTTTCTGTTCATCTTAAGGCATTATCTATCATGTTCATTTGCTGTTAAGTTCCTCTTAGGTTTTAGCTTCCTTTCTGAAATGACTTGTTTCCTTCTTCCTAACTTTCTATGTCTGGACTTTTCTAATTCTTATTGATCTATGTTATTCTTTCTCATTTCATTTCTTAACGTCTTTTAGCTCACTTTTTAATAGTAAGTCACATTATGTTCTTCTGACATGCTTTCTCTTTTTTGGTAGAAATGTTATTCTGCTTCTTATTCTCTTTGTTCTTTTAAGTTTGAATGGGATTTTACCTTGGTTCTTTTTTTTTTTAAGGTTTTATTTTTATTTATTTAGAGAGAGAGAGCACATCCTCCCTTGGGTGGGGGAGGGAGAGAGAATCCCAAGCTGACTCTGCACTGAGTGTGGAGCCCGACGTGGGCCTCGATCTCAGAACCCTGAGATTATGACCTGAGCCAAAATCAAGAGTCGGACGCTTAATTGACTGAGTCACCCAGGTGCCCTTTTAGTTGTTCATTTTTTGGTAAAACTTGTTTTTTATCTGAGTTTTTGAACATGGCAGGATTTTCTAACATCACAGAGATCCCTCTTCCAAACTATGGTCTTGGGATTTCCCGAGCCTGCTGCTTCTCCGTTTTTAGCTGGTCCTTCTCTTTCCTTTCTCTATATTGTCCTGATTCTGTTTACTTCTGATCACACTCCCAGCCACTTGTCCTCAGTGCAGGTGGCAGTTTTTCAGAGTTGTGAGGCACTAGAACAACTTCAGTCCCTTCAGAATTTCTTACTATGGACCTCTTGGACTCACCCCCTGTTAGACAGCAAAACTCTTCCCAACTTCAGCTGCTGTTCTCAGATTGGCCCACCATCCCTCACTTTACAGTGAGGACCACCCTTGTTCTCAAGTCTGCCAGATACCACATTACTTCCATCTGCCCCCTTCCCTAGACACTGATTCTATATGTGGTTTGTCTCACTCATGTCATCGAAAGTGATTCTTGTGGATAACTCATCACTGAGTTTGTTCTAAATGTTGTCCAGTAGTTTTTGGCTTTGGCATATGTGGGTATTTGAGGAGATTAGAAAAACAAGGCTGCTGCCACAGGTGCCACCTTCCAACACTTTCATTTTTGGTTAAACACTTTCCAAGTCTCTCAGATGTGGAGGAGACCACAGATGGACTGTGCCCACAAATGAGGGTAAACATGAGAACACACACAAATAATAGAATACAGTGCTGACTAATCAAGGAGTTGACATTCACCAAATGAGCAAGCAGCTTCTGACCTCACTCAGCAGTGAATAGAAGTGTGCAGGCATTTCTCAAATGGTATCTCATAGGAAGTTAATAGAAATATGGTAGTTCTAGTTGCCCAGTGAATGTAATTTAGGAAATGATGAGTTGAGGCAAAGCATTCTCTACCACTTCCTTAAAATGGCACACAAAATAAATAAATAAATAAATAAGTAAATAAATAAACAAAAATGGCACAAAGTGAAGAAGTGGTAAAAGATTTGTATAAAGTTTTTAAGGAAGAAATAAAAACTCTGATAAGAAAAATCTCAGTTTCAACATTAACTCAACAATCAAGGACAGATATTGCCATTTTAGAGAGGGTAAGATGCTCTTGAGTTTCCTTACCATGTACCAAGTGATGGTTGGTTTGACGGTGGAAGGAAAGAATCCATCTACATTTGGACACGTGATCTTCTGAACACCATACTCTATATACAGTTTATGCAGTGGGAGTTTCATGGAGGAATTGAAGCAGCTGTCTTTTTGAACCACTTCCAGAGGAAACGCAACTTTGCTGCAGTATGTGGTATTCCTAAAAAGAGAAATAGCCAGTCTCCTTTGAATCTGATTTGATGCAGCAATCACATTAAAATGAGTTATATGAAATAATGCTGCACATTGAGACCTCATTTACATGTCAGTTCACATAGGAATTAAAATTAACAAGTCAGGAAATGACAGATGTTGG